ACCAACCCCACCCGACGGAGGAAATTTACTGCTTGTCTTACCAGTCAGGTATGAATTATGGCTCATTCAATTATGTAAACAGTTCAGTGTTTCATAAATTATTGAAATAAGATCTTCTCCGGAAACGTTCTTGATTTGCAGGCATTCTGGGACTCATATGACTCTGCAATACATACAAATCAATCACTTACAGATGTCCAGAGATTTAATTATTTGAAATCACTTCTTAGAGGAGAATCGCTTCATACAGTTACAGGTTTTAGCCTAACTAATGCAAATTACAAGAAAGCAGTCTCACTTTTGCACGAGAGGTACGGGCCACGTGAAAAAATTATCCAAACTTACATGAAAGCCCTTCTAGAATTTCCCGGCCCGAGCATTTTAGGCTCTTCGTCATTTCTTTGACGCAACAGAAACTTATATTAGAGGTCTTGACTTATTGGGACAAAGTGAAGATACTTACGGCTCTTTATAGTACCTGTGATGTTGAATAAACCCAATTACAGATGAAATACAAACCCCTATGAATTATCCAGCTACGGCGGCATTTGTTACTAATAACAAGCCAAATAATCACCGTGGTGTACAGTCACCGAGATTGTGCGTGTTCTGCAAAAAACCTCACCCCAAATGTAAGCTAATTCACAGTAAAGACAAGTTCAGAAAGAATTGACAATGTGAAACGTGATAAATTGTGTTTTAATTGTTTGGGGAAACATAGAGTCGCTGATTGCAAATCCAAGTTAAGTTGTAAGCATTGTTCAGGACGTCATCATACAAGTCTGTGTTCGCAGAAATCCGTAAGCGGAAATGATCAAGAAAAGAAGACAGTAAGCACCAATGAAAAAAAGAAAGCAGTAAAGAATGACGCGTCTATATTACACTCCGCAAACACACATATAGTTGAACCTGTACTTCTAAAGACAGCTATAGCCAGCGTACAGTCAAACTTCACAATCTGTGACGCAAATATTCTTTTCGACGAAGGGGCTCAAAGGTCATTCATCACAGAGAATTTAGCCCAGAAATTAAACATTGTACCCACAGGAACAGAGTCGCACTATTTATCTGGATTTAGAGATAAAATAAAAAAGGTTCGTCATTTACAAACAGCTACCATATCTTTATAAAAACAGATACAGACAATATACCTATTGTTCCAAAAAAAAGCCGTCCCATTGAAAACATACCCTAGAAGAATCTGTGACATCCCGTACTTGAAAGGACTGAAATTAGCTCATACGTTGTACAAAGACGAATCCTTTGACATCACTCTTCTCATAGGAGATGATTATTACTGGCAGATCGGGCAGGATAAAGTGATCAGAGGAAATGGACCTACGGCAGTACAGTCAAAAATAGATTATCTCCTCCACGAACAGTTTGAAAATAGTTCCTCCGATACATACATTATGAATCTCATGACAACACATATCAAGGAAGAGGTAGATCTGGAAAAGTTCTGGAAAGTGGAGAGCTTAGGTATAGATATAACAGAACAGAACAAAGGTTATTGAGAATATTTAAGCAAATACCAGAATTCGTGTATCGGCTACAGTAATGAAGAGAACAAATACATCGCTAAGTTGCCATGGAAACAAAATCACCCCTCTCTCCCGACAAATGAATACATCGCCCGCAGAAGAACACAGAATGTAATATACAGACTCCAGAAGGAACCAATATTGTTACAAGCTTACGGAAAAATAATAGAAGACCAGGAACGCCGTAACTTTATAGAAAAGTTACCATATGACGTCACCACTCCCATAAGTTACACTATATACCCCACCATCCCGTAAAGAAAGATTCATCAACAACGCCTATTAGAATTGTATTTGACTGCAGTTGCAAAATTTCAACTAATTCCGCAAGTTTAAATGCTTGTTTAGAAAGTACACTTCCAGTATTGAAAGACCTGACGTCAATACTTATACACTTCAGAGCAAATCGTCTGCTGTTACTACGGACATTGAGAAAGCCTTCTTGAATATTGGACTTGATGCAGACGACCGTGACGTCACAAGATTCTTTTGGTTGTCAGATCCAGACGATCCTAGCAGTGCCTTGCAGACTTACCGGTTCAAATCAGTGTTATTTGGAGCCACTTGTTCGCCATTCATACTAAATGCAACCATTCTCAAGCATCTCTCTACAGTAAAGTGTGACTTCACAAAACAAATTTCAAAAGATTAATATGTTGATAACATAATATCAAGTGTGCCTGATAAAGAAACCATGATGAACTTCTACAAATGTAGTAGGGAGTTCTTTCAGAAAGCTGGATTCAATAAACGGTCCTGGGCATTAAATTACGAGAATTTACGAGATATTGCGAGAACAGAAGATGTTATTGATGAAGACACAACGACAAAGGTACTTGGAATGCGATGGGATTCTGAGAATGATAAATTTACCTTTCCACACAGAAGTAATATGATAAGTACTTCACATCCCTTGATTAAAAGAGAGTTACTGAAATAGTCTGCTGCTTCCATATACGATCCTCTAGGAATATTGAACACATTTACTGTTCACTTTGTTTACAGTCACTATGGCAACGTAATTTAGAATAATGAGGCGAGATCTTACCTGAAGATGTTACTGCATAAATGACTCGTATAAAATCGGATATTGAACAAGGAATACTAACTATGGAAACAACTAGATACTACTTCTCGGACAGCAACAACACTCATGCACGTAACATTCACATATTCACAGACTCAAGTATGAAGGCCTACGGGGTGCGCATACATCGTTTCCGGGAAGGAGAGTTCATTCGTTATGGCAAAAAAAACAGAGTTGCGCCTATCAAGAAAATGACGATACCAAAACTAGAGTTGATGGCGGCATTATTTGGTGCAAAACTTGCAGATCATATTACAAAGAGCTTGGAATGTGAACATGTGACACTGTGGAGTGATAGCCAAGTAGTTTTAAGCTGGCTTGTGTCTTCAAAACAACCTGACGTTTTTGTGAAAAATAGAATCAAGCAAATCCATGAGTTGACCAGTACATTCAAGTGGCGATATTGTCCCACAGATTCGAATCCGACTGATTTACTATCTAGAGGTGTTACATTCAACAAGTTCCAAGACAACAAACTATGGATGCACGGAACGGAGTGGTTAACGGCAGAAGATACCTTACCAGTATTTCACATGACGCTGTCATCTGTAACAAATAAGAGCAGAAATAGAGAGAAACGATGTGATCCACCAATACTAGAAGAAACAGAGAATGCCTTATGCATATGGTTAAAAGATGCGCAGTGTACATGCTTTCCAGACATCTACCTAAATGACACATTGAACAAAAAATCCAGCATCGTAAAACAACTAGACATATACATTGATGAAAAGAATGTTATACGCTGTGGCGGTCGTATTTCAAATGCACCCTTAGATGTTAACAGTAGGTTTCCTTTTCTGTTACCGAAAGATCAAAGATTGACAGATTTGATCGTTACATCCGCACATAGAAGGCAATTACATTCCGGAACTGAGAGTACAGTTACCTTCCTCCGACAAAAGTTTTGGATTCCTAGTATACGTCAAAAAGTGAAGTCAATAAAACACAAGTGTATTATTTGCAGAAAAAATACTGGCAAACCTTATCATGTCCCCAACGCCCCAACATTGCCGAAAGATATAGTATAGGGAGGACCACCATTTACAGTGACAGGTGTTGACTTTTTCGTGAGCTTTTAATATAAATGTAAAGACGGTTCTATCAGACAGGCATACATTTGTTTATTTACATGTGCTAATACTAGAGAAGTACACCTGGAAATTGTACCGGATATGACGATAGATTCTTTCATGTTAGCCTTTCGTCGATGTATCAGTAGAAAATCAACACAAAAAATCATGATGTCAGATAATGCATCAACTTACATCGCAGCCGCTAACATTTTGAAGACCAACTGTACAGATTATGGCATTACTTGGAAGTTCATACCGCCACGTGCCCCTTTTTACGGAGGCTGGTGGGAAAGATTAATTGGATTGACTAAGACATGCTTAAAGAAGGTACTAGGAAAAACACTTGTGAGCCTGGAAGTTCTACAGACGCTTATTACAGAAGTTGAGTGTATCATTAATGACCGCCCTCTTACATACGTATCATCGGATCCATTAGATGTAGACCCACTATCACCATCCCATCTTCTATATGGTCGAAGAGTTACTTCCCTTACAATTCCAGAAGACAGGCCTACTCTTGTTCGTGATGATCCTACTCACGAATCAGTCAAACGGTTGTCAAACTTTAAATCAATAACATTACAACATTTCTGGACCAGATAGAAGGAGGAATATCTCACATCCCTCAGAGAATACCATAAACTCCACAATTGTAATCAAGACACACCCAGAATAGGAGATGTGATGCTTATCAACAGAACGAAATGGCCTCTGGCAGTAATACAGGACCTTATTACTAGCGGAGATGGCTTGGTGAGAGCTGTTAGAGTTTGGACCAGTAATGGCGTGACTATCAGACCCATTTCTAAATTGTATCCAATGGAGAGGTGTGATGAACATTTATTGTTATTTACCAGTGCTCGCGATTGCAAATTCATACATTGATTGACATTAATAGTGAAGTTTTAAGAACCAGTGATTTGATACTCTATAGACTTATACATTTTTTTTTAAATTGTCATTTATTTCGCGGCCCAGAGTGTTAGATATTACGCGTCTTATTATTATTATTAGACGTCTTATAAACATTGACGCTGTCACGGTACATAGCATTTTATCGCGACGTGACGTTGACGTCACTTTTGTTATATTTTGTACATTTGAATTAAGAGTTGAAAATACAGTCGTTGAAACCAGACGTTCATATTCAGTTGTTAATGTCATCCCGACAAACAGTATATTTTGACCTACTGCCTGACAAATTCAAATATAGGTCTGTAGGTCAAAGAGTAGTCTAGTTTCTGGTCAGGGATGCTATTAATGATCAAAGTCTCTGCGACCTTAGTCTTTGATCTACGGACCGTTAAAACAAAAGAAGTGGTTCCCTAGTCATGATCTAGCTCAACACCAAATCTAAAGATTGTTGGCCATATTCTTTTCTATTTATCTGTCAGACAAGATGTCCATGGTGACTTTAACATAGGTGTCATCAGCAATGACTACGGGCAATATCCCTATTATGTTACATATATCAAGGCTACTTTTCAAGTAATTGATCGGACAATTCAGACGTAACATACATTCATACTTACAGGCCTACCCTAAAGTATGATTTCAATATTAAGTGGGGATGTACAAAATTTGCATTGTATGATACACACCAATCAAAAGATACTCTTTCAGTTCACATAGAGTATAGAAAATATGGCAAAGAAAGTTGAGTATGTAATGATCCAAAGACTAGAGTCCGGCAATATATATAAATACAGACTGCTTTAAGAAAAGTCTGACACTTCAAATGAAAACGTGCAAAAAATTATAATGTCAAAGGTGAATGTAACAAATCAAAATGATAAACATGTAATCTACTAAATTACAGATGGACATTACCTACATCATCATTAAAAGTGTATATAATAAGAGTGAATAATAGATATCATAAAAAAGTTTTTGTGCAGAGTAAACTTTAAAGGGATTGCATTATTGAAATGAGCAGCAAATAAATATTTGATGATTTACAATGAGACAACACGGAGGTACAAAATTCCCAATGGCCCTAACTATAGCAAACTTATTAAATTAAGCTTCGAATACAGTGAAAGATGAATGTAAATAAACTAAAAAACCAATTGAAATAATTTGCGAGAAAAAAATATTATTATAATAACTCTACAATTAATTTATTTCTATTCGAAATTCACAGATGGCTTGTGTTCAACAAAAGGTTGCGATTCAGCAGGTATGATATCTCAATAGTTTATATTCAAGTTTTATGCCGTAATGTTTGCAAATTATAGAAAAGTCCAAATGTTTATAAAATTATCATAGTACATATCTATTCGAACGTATGTTCCAAATTAATGGAAGGTTCAATATATATTGCTGTTGTTTTAATATCATGAATTTTTATCTTAACTCAATTTAAAAAGATTTTCTCAAATCAGAAGAACTTTGAATAAATTTAAACCAAATACAAAATGTTTGTAAAATGCTATAAACTATTGTTTTAATCAAACATTATTCTGTATAATTTAAATGACAAAGTTAAAATGTTTTGGTAATAAGACTCATTTTTATAAATCGTCCAATCTTCATAACTTATATACTGAATATTAGCTTTATACCTACTGAACGATATATAATATCGATTACAGCAGTATACCTGTTATATGTGTGTCGTCATTTTATAGCCGATCGAGTTCTTGAAGCAATGGACACTGATGTAAATCCATGTGACAACTTTTATGACTTTGCATGTGGCAAATGGTCTAAAATGAATTCGATCCCCGAGGGTTCGTCATACTACAGTACACGCAGAGAAAAGAGCGAATCTAACCTATTGATTATTAAATGTAAGTAATCAAAATCCAAACGAAAATTACCTACTGCATATTGTAAAGTGAAAGAATTCTAGTTAAAATGTACCTGAGTCATGATAAAGTTGTGTAAGTAATTTCGATGATCAGAAGCAAATTACTTATGTTATGACTATAAACGGGACAATTATAAAGTACAAGTTTATAAGGCCATGAAATAACCATTATAAAGAAATGTAAGGAAATAATGTTAAGACATAGGAGTGGACGTAACAACGATAATCAAATGCAAGTTATTTTCAAAGTACAAGTTTATATGGTCATGAAAAAATCATAATGAAGAAATTAATGTCATGAATTAGCGGTGGGCATGACAATGGGGAACTGATGTTATCACATAGAGGTGGGCGTGACAATAGGGTACTGATGTCATGACATAGGACATAGCGGTGGACGTAACAATGAGGAACTGATGTCATGACAAAGCAGTGGGCGTAACATTGGGGAACTGATGTCATGACATAGCAGTGAACCGCCTCCGTGGTCGAGGGGTTAGAGTCGATGACTTCTATTCCAGTTACCTCTCTGGCGTGGGTTTGATCCCCGGGAGATGCTTTGGTAGTTAAGCACGGAGGAAGGTAGTCTAGTACTGGTGTAACTCTCCAGGACCAATGGTTAGGAAACTACCCGCCTATATGACTGAAATACTGTTGGGAAAAGGCGTAAAATGAAACAAACAAACAAAACATAGCAGTGGGCGTTACAATGGGGGAACTGATGTTATGACATAGGGCATAGCTGTTAATAATGTGGAACTGAGGTCATGGCAAATCGACGGGCGTAGCAATGGGGAACTGATGTCATGACATAGCGGTTGGTGTAACAATGGGGAGCTGATATCATTATATAGCGGTGGGCGTAACAACGGGGAACTGATGTCATGACTAATCGACGGGCGTAGCAATGGGGAACTGATGTCATGGAATAGCGGTTGGTGTAATAATAGGGAGGTGATATCATAATATAGCGGTGGGCGTAACAACGGGGAACTGATGTCATAATATAGGGTCGGTGTAAAATAGGGAGCTGATATCATAATATAGCAGTGGGCATAACAACGGGGAACTGATGTCATGACAAATCGACGGGCGTAGCAATGGGGAACTGATGTTATGACATAGCGGTTGGGTGTAACAATAGGGAGCTGATATCATACGGTAATATAGCGGTGGGCGTAACAACGGGGAACTGATGTTATGACATAGCAGTTGGTGTAACAATGGAGAACTGATGTTATGACAAAGCATAGGGAGCTGATATCATAATATAGCGGTGGGCGTAACAACGGGGAACTGATGTTATGACATAGCAGTTGGGTTAACAATAAGAATATGATGTCACCGAATAGCGGTGGACGTAACTATTATAATAAATTTCAAGATATTAAAAGTATTATAAAACAATGGTTTTAAACATGATTTTAAAGGGACTCCATTGAGTTACAAAAGCCTAAAATCATAACATTTGAATTGAATTTCTTACATAAATGAGCTGGGGCACTTTAAATATAAAATTATGCAAAGAAACTTAATAAATATACTTTAAAATAAATTAAAAATCATATTGTTATGCTCTTCTTAACCCGATTTGAGTGAAAAGCGTTTAAACGAAGTGCGCGAATGATCTGAAATTTTGCACAAAGATTAGTGGTCTGAACCTACTTCAAACGTTACATTTATCAGGAAAAATATATTCAGTCCCATCATGTCAAAAAACCTCATTGAAGTCCCTTTGAGCTGAAAAATAAAGATTTTTACAATACAGTTGTTTTTATCATTTGTATGTGAACCAGTTTTATGGTAATTTATGTCACCTTTTTAAGAATATAACATTTTGTTTAATATAGTATGATTTGACACAAAACTTTAACGAATTATTCTATTGTTTGAAGCTGTGTTGGAGAAAGAAATAAGTCCTGGTGATATAGATTCTGTTGTTAAAGCAAAGAAATTTTACAAGTCATGCATGGATACAGGTATGTATTAATTTAAGTTTGATAATGAACTACACATATTTTAAATAAAAGGTACAATAGAAAGCAATGATTGTTGATACCAAAATATCAGAAACAGGTGTCAAATTCTATTTAAAGGTGGATGTCTGCAGATGTATTATAACATGTAATGTAGAAAATAAAGAATCTCAAATGCTGTGCTGTACTAAATCAAAATTAAAAAAAACAACAATTACACTTGTAAATTGTAAATGAACCTAGGGTAAAAAACGCTCCAGGAAAAATAAAGAAGGGATAAGTCGAAACAAACTTAACAAATATTTGCAGGATCAGTTTGTTTGAATCTATTGAATCTTATATAGCTTCATTGTTATCGAAAAATATTGTTTTTTTATTTATACAGAATGCTATTAAATATGTTAAATACGTACTTAGGTTATAAATCCGTAATCCTGTCTCATAATTAATCAATTACATTGTAAAATCGGTTTTAAGATAAAATAGAGAAGCTTGGGAATGCTCCTCTACACGAATATATGGAAAGTATGGGTGGATTACCAATGTTGGGGGATGCTCCAGGCGGTAGATGGGATTCAAGTTCTTATTCATTAGAGGATCTTCTTGTTAAATCATTCCACATGACACCTTCTACACCAATGATTCATCTTTCTATAAAGGATACAAACAAGAAAAAAGATCGATTCGAACTCCAAGTAAGTTATAATACAAATAAACTCATTTCAGAAAGGGGGGCGTTTGATGTCTTACGGAATATTTTATTTTGTATAAAGATAGGTATTTTATCCGGAATAAAGTTTGAAGCCTAAGATACTATTATATTGTATTATCTATCTGTCGATAAACGGAACAAAAATAAAATGAAATTACTCACTACAATTGAATTGAACAAAATTTAGCATATATATCACTAAAATGTCACTAAAATCGGATACAGAAGATAATTCTTATTTCTACTTGTGTCCGTGCTGTCTTGTGCCCTGTCCTGTTTTTGTTTGGGGTCCGTCTGGGCTCCTTGCCGCTGATTCTTGTTGCTGGGTCATATGCGGTTGCCTTTCCTTGTTGATCTTGTTTATCATATCTAAAGAAATAGCATTCCATTTTAGTGTGCATTTTTCACCGGTAGATTTTGAATTTTCTGCCTTTACAATAACATTGTTTTACATTTACCATTGCCAAACATGAAAAGGCTTAATCAAACCGAGCATGCAACTTTTTCATTTTTTTTTTTGGACTTCGGGGGCGTTCTTTCAACATTCTATTTTTTGACTTCGGGGGCGGTCTTTCAACATTCTATTTTTTATATTTTGTTCGATATTTCTTTTTTTAGATATATTTAAAGATTTAACAAATCTATATATTTAAACTTTAGATCGATCAGCCGGAAATGGACTGGTTTCTGACAAGTCAAGATTCTGAAATATATCTTAATGGTTACGAGACTTACCTAAAGGAAATGTTTCTAGCTTTAGGTGCTAATGAAAGCATAGCAGCTGTTTACGCAAAGGATATAGTTAATCTTGAAGTTGATATTGCAAAAGTAAGAAGACATTTATCACTTTTGTGTCGATATTTCAATCGCATAAAAAATAATGATAAAAATAGTTTTCAGGATTTTTACACAGTAAACAAATATTAAGTGTTTTTTAAATATGAATTAAATCATTATTTTCAACGTTTCCATTAATTAACATATAAAGGATAAACTAGACACGCTTTTGAATTTGATAATATGATATAAATATTTTTCTAGTTTTTAACAAATATAGGATTACATTGTCATTAGCTGATTTTCATTTTTTTCAATTTGTAAAGATTTTAATACCATTTGGAGAAGGGACCAGTGGCCGTCTTACAGTGAATGAACTTCAAGACTTAGTTCCAACTAAGGTAATATATTCGATATGTTGGTTATCTTATTTCATTTGTGTCACAGTGTGCTTGTGTAAGTTTTCTTATATTATTTTGCTTTTTATTTTTATATTGTGCTGTTGTATTGTTTGTACTGTTGTTCATTTAAAGTCAATTTTGTAATTGAAATTGCATGTGGCCATTTTCCAATTTAAATTTCCTGCTTGATTATGCAAAGTCATGGGACAATATACCGCTTTTCATGGAATGGCACGAACATTGAAGATTCAATGTTAACCGCCATATAAACACATCTGCAGATGTTTCGAAATAAAACTTTTTTGTCTGTTCATATTTATTATTGAATTCTGCTTAAACCGTTGCTAGGGATATGGATGGTAACTTGCACTTTAGTACTGTCCGGGTAATGGCTCAATCATACCGAGCCTGCAACATTTTCAATTTTGCATTGTTGGGCTTTCTAAATGGATTCTGCTTTCCTCTCCTTTACACGTTTTAAGAATGCAAATAAATTGTCTTACCGACATGCGTAGAGATTTGTTCCAGAAAGTGCAAAATTATTGAATGATAGAGGTGGAATAGATCTGTCATAGTCAAGTTGAATTTTGGCATGGTAATGTTATCAGCAAACAGATCTAGCGATGCTATAAAAACCTAAGGGTGAAGACTCATGGTATGGCGCTTTGTCTGATAAGTGTCTGCACAAGTCACACAAATCATGCTTTTGGGGTTTTAAATGGTGCAAAATAGAGAGAAATAGAATCCCTAAAGAAAGTCTAAAACGGACTTGGTTTTTTCTTTGCACAGTTGGATCGATCTTTCAGGTCAGAGACAACTAACATAGTAACTTAGAACTATCAATAGATTATTAAAATGTTTGATATCAAGAAAATGAAAATATCAAGCAGTCAAAATTCTGGACAGACTTGCCCTTTTCTATACTGGTTACAAAGAAAAGTTATTTTTTATCATAAGCTATCTAAACACGGAACATATAAGTTTGCTTTTATTATACTATTAGGTAAACTTAACAAAAGTAATAGAGAGCATCTATCAGTCTGGTGGTTTTTCTCTCGACCGATCTAATAGAATTTGGATATTTTCACCAGAGTATTTTACCCGTCTTGGGAACATAACAACAAAATATCCAGAAAGGTAAGACACTTTCTATTTCTGCTAAGTAAAATACGTTATCTCTTCTGTCCCTTCGGGAGCATTGATTCCGACATATCTATTGTGAAATGTTGAATATCGCTTAGACGGGCGTATTAGGCCACTAAAGTTATGAGTATCTGTAGCCTAACGTCAAACAAATTGCAACACAAGTTTTTTTTTGATTTTTATGTTATCAACATGTATCAATGTACCTTACAATAAAGCCCGGAAAAAATCAATCGGAAACTTGACTTATGGCAGGAAGTTTACGAGTACCTGTCCCAGGGGTAAAATTTATGATTAGATATTGATGTCTTAAAATGTGGCGAGTTTCTTGCCTTTATTTGTTACAAATGTGTAACTGAATCATGACAGCCTGTTTCATGGTATTTGTGAAAATAAATTCGTGTAAAACAATAAAATATTACCCCACCCAGTTGAAAAAATGATACAAAACTTTTGTTATAATATATCCATTGGAAATATTTGGATTACACTGATAAAATATTTACATTTTAGAGAGTTACAAATAAAACATACATTAAAAGCCTATGTAAATAATGAAACGGATATAATTTAAACGTTTTAAAGGTAATTGTAATGGTTGTTACAGCAATTACATTGACATAAATGTAGTCAAGTATTTTTACTTTATAGACAAACATTTAAAAACAATACAGCTAATTTGCTGATTAAGCAAGGCTTTAATCCATCGATTCAATCATTGCACTACGTATTAGATACTTCACATTAAAAATAAGTTCTAATAAAACATGTTACCATGTACTTTAACAAATTTGTACGTTACCAAAATTACAATATTTCATAAACGACACGAAATGAAATGCGACCAATAGAGTTTTGTCACTTAATTCACTGTTCAATTTCGAAATCTTAACATTAATAAATAAATTTCATTTATATTGTTCGATTTCATTGCCTGTAATAACTATTTGCCTGCTGTTTAAACAGCCCACCGCCTACAACCTCCGCATGCTGATGAACATTCAAGCCCGTGCTTCCTACAGGAGCATCGCTGAGTGGCACGGTTTTCACAGTTGCATTTAATAATATTCAACATTCTTTCTGGTGCAGCCGGAAGATCCGTTTTTAGAGGAACTAGTTTATTTCCACTTTGAATCCATCCCCATTGCAGAGGATCAAGATCGTGACCAATCCATGTTTGAACTTGATGGTTAACTCTGTAGCTGTGGTATTTTGCAGCAGCAGTAGTAGGGGGTATAGTTCTCACTTGAACAATGTTTTTACTTTTTGCAAATTTTGTCACAAATCTTTGATATCGCAAATGATCTAACGATTCCGTATTTTTTCCATTTTACACCTTTATTAAAGCCATTACACCCGCGCTAGCAACTTCTTCATGTGTCGCATCTTGTTTCAAGAATATGGAACTTTGTTCTTGTAAACACATATCTGGGGCTAATTTTATCATGACTGTACCCTTACCAATACCAAATAGCCTTGATGTAGTGTCACAATCAGGTTATGCATGTACGAGAATTTTGCATCAGACCAGGAAACTCATTTCGGAGTGAACTCCACCCAACCGCAGCACAATAGATTTTATTTCGCAATTGTTTGATTCTTGACAATATTAAGTGCTTTCCAGTAAAGGGGTTGGTCGAATGTAAGGACTGTTGAAGTGCCGTGATTTCGTGACTGCTTGGCGACAAAATGTTAAGTTGAATCTATGCAAGAAAGGTCTCTTGAGTTCATATCAATCATAGGCATAAACAATATTGTTGATTCACCATAATAACTCCCTTGTTGTATCATCTGCATTGTTCCTGACCACCCTGGTAACTCAACTCTCAATGAACTTGCTACTTTCAGAATAAATTCAAGATCTTCTTCTTCTGCATCTCCGGAAACTTCTTTCAGATGTCTGAACTTGATTTCTTACATGAAACAGTTTGGTTGCTTATAAAACTGTATATCAATTTTCGCTGTTTGTATAACATCTTCACGTGAGACATTAATACGTGGTATCACTTGAGTACACTTAAGTTTTGGTGTTAATGTAGCTTTTATTCCCATTCCGTGAAATGTATGCAATCCATCTATTGTACAAATGTTATGACCCACGTTGTCCGCCATAAACTGTAAAAAATCATTACTCATTGTTTGTATGTTTACACCATGCGTCACTGCTGCACTTCTTTTATATGTACATACTTCCTGATACAACACACTGAAAGTTAAAAAAAAGTATAGATATGTGTTACATGTTTTGCATAAAAGATTTTCTTTAAACCATAAAAAATAGTACCTGGTGCAATTCATTAGAAATGCTAGGTAATTGATAGCAAAAACACCTTTAATTATAGCTTTTGTTCTAATATGGAATATTTACTCAAATACTTGTTTAAAATTTAAAGATCACAAGTACAAATTGACTCATGTTTCATATATGTATGATTTTGACTTAAACTGTTTTATTTTAAGCTACCTAAGTTATTTAAGCAATCAACCATAACCGTAACCCGTAAACCTAACTGTAACGGGCATACTAAATTTAATTTTAAACGTCTTGGTGTTGCTGTCTGTACTATAGATTGTCCAATTGAAGCTATTTTCTTTTTGCCTTGTTTATTGTCAATAACCTTTTGCAGAAAAAGATGCAGACTGTCAGGTAAGTAATTTAAATTTGAAGACAATGATTTAATTAATGTTGCTGGAGGATAAATATCTTCCCTTTTCCATGTTTTTATATCATTTAGAATTAAGCAGCTGATGTTATGATTGCTTCTTTTTCAGACATACATTCATCATGTTTACGCTTATAAAATGAGTGAAGGATAGCATGTGCTTCACTTTTGAATGTCAGTACATCGTGTTTACCATTAACTTCAGCAATAATGATATTGTCTCCAAAATACTGCAAGAAATTTCTTCTTTGTATATACAGAGCTATACGAGTGATTTCTGCACTTCTCATCCATAATGTTCACAAAGTCTACTACAGTTAGTTATTCATTTTCATGCATTTCAAAATATTTCATAATTTCTAAAAATGCTTCAGAACTTGCTGTATTAGATGGCCTTTCTCTATTTTTTCTCAGTTTTTTCACAAGTCAAATGTTGAAACTTTTCAGGAACGTTTTTAAATGTTCGAAAGTTGCTGTTACAACTTTTGTGATAACGAGCTTCAGCTGCTGGGAGGTCATTTACACCTTCAGTTCTTCCAAGAATCTCACTTGCCCAGTCATCGTTTTTTGTTTTACATATGCCCTTAATTGAGTCTTGAAAGTCAAAGGTTTCAACCTTATGTACAGCATCGCCAAAAAGCTTATTTTCGTCCCACATAATACACAGTTATTGTCATATACACATTTACTTCCAGCTATTTTCCTTGTTTTTTGACTTCTTATGACATTGTTCGTGACATCAGAAAGCTTTCTTTTCTTATCATAGTCATAGCAATAATCCTTTCTACAATCTTCTTGCACATACTGTTTATGCCTTACATCTAGTCCGTCATCTACAGAGGGATAAAAAAGAAATATGATAATAAAACAATCATTTATTCTTATTATTATCGTGTGCTAAAACACATATTTGCATGATTTTAAGAAATATTTCTCCACATATGTTTCCGTTTAAAAAAAACTTTTTTTCTTTTTGCAACGTACCTTTTGTTTTACTTTGGGCAATTTAAGTGTCAAATCCTTTTTGTGTAAATTTCGCTAATCGGCGACCATCATTCGTCTTACATAGTACACATAATGCTTTCCTCACTGGAATTGTTGTGTAACATGTTTAAAATATCAACATAGCACATTCACTGAACACATTATATCTTTAAATCATAATAATTACTCGAAAAGTTACAGTGATTGTGAAAAACATATCTCTCTCTTTGAGATCTTCCTCATTTTTTAAGTTTGCCCTCCGTACAATTATTAATCAACTTATTAACGATATCTGAATTATCTATCTTTTAATAAATTACTTTTTAAAATTTTAATAATACCTCATTTCTTTTTTTGAACCCTCCATTATCCCACGAGTATCTTCTATCCAAGAAACGCTGGAAAAAGAGTCAGAGAGAGATTATAATTCCTATGCCGGCAATATTTTATAAGTTTAATATGTAAAATTTAAATATCATTTTGAAAAATGTGATAAATTACGAATAAATATTATTCAAATGATAATATACAGCCCTCAATTTTACCTTTAAAGCTTGATATCCAAGGGTAAATCTACTGACTTGCAATGTGGAATCACATGGTATTTTTTCAATCCAACCTTCGCTATACACATTCAATCTGAAATAAATTAAAAGTTTCACTAAAACAACTCAATAAATAACCATTAACAATTTCATTTTTATACATAAAACAAACAAAATTTGAATAAAATCCATACGTTATTACTAGGAAGATATTTAGGGTTTCGTGCTTTTTTGACCCAAACACGCTTCCGTAGTTTCATTTTTTGCGCATTCCAGGGTAACCTTGACATTTATTTTTTTTTTTTTTTGGGCTTTATTAACATATTGTAACCATAATAGGGTATTCAATGTATGTTCAAATCATAGTATTATGTTGAAAATTAATAAATACATATAGTTTGATCGACAGCTGCGGCAATTTATAAACACGCGAAAATGTATTGCAAACATCGTTATATCACGTATTTGTGTATATTTGGGGCTAAAAGGTGTAAATTGAATAAAAAGAATGTAAAAATACATAAATATAACTCACATAAGCTTATAATAATCCTATCCAGTCCAAAAAATGGTTTCAACTCACTAAATACAAATTTCAAATCGCGCGCTCTCTAAACTTATGTTTACTTCGACACTGGTTACAACATAAAATGCCGTGTATGGTCTACATACAGAGCCACATTAAAAATCGAAATAAACGCATCATTTAAATTGCGTTTTTTACGAAAATCTTTGTTCCGATTTTTTTTCCGGGTGTTTACTTGTTTTGAACAATTCATTTGACAATAGAATTATGTATGTAAAAAAAGCTTGTGTTGCAATTTGTTTGACCCCAAGATTTACTTTGATCTCACTATATGAGAAATTATCAAATAATCAAAATGTGTAAAACATTTTTTGAAACCCTTGTGACATTTATATTACATTTGAAGACATTTGGGCTTCTTTGTAAACTTAACATGGCAATTTTATCACTTGCATGCCTATTTTATTACAACAAAAGGATATCTATTATTCCTATATTAGATTTAAAACAACCTTTTGCTTTAAAACAGAATGTTCTTGATACATTGCTACCTTGTTTTATGGGGTTTTTTTTGACAGAGTAATTGCTAGTTATATTGTGGTTAAGACAGCCCTGAGTCAAGTGCACTTCCTACCAAAAATATATACGGATATTTTGGATAAACTGTATAGGGTATGTACCCCATGAAAAGTATAGTTGAGTATCATTTGTTTGTATTTTGTTTTATCTTTAATAACTTAACGTGTCATTCAAAATATAATGAACATAGTTTTGGTTATCAATTCAGAAATATTCGATATCGTTGAATTTTATCTAGGAATATTAAGCAAGCTACGCTTTATGTTAGTGCGTTATTAAAAATGTACAATATTAGATTGAGAAAACTTAATTTTATCAAAACGTTTAGATTTAAAAGACATAAATTCCGTGAATAATTGTCAACGCTAATAAGGCGACCGGACCGGCACCTTTTTTATGAAAGGTATACACACTTACATTTTAATACATGTTAAACGAAATTATTCATAAAATAAAATTAAATAAAATTTTGCCTTCTTTCTACAATAAATGAAAGATCATAAATTCAATTACCTAATAATTAGGTTTATGTTAATTTCTTTTGAAGCTTTTTCTCGTATTTATCAAATTTTCAATAGCATTTGTTCATATTTTTTCACATTAATACAGGTATTGGGTTTAACATTACGTTCAGAACAGAGATGGTCGTTTTGTGTATCTACATTGACAGACAGGATGCCATATGTATCTGGTAGATTGTTTGTTCGTGAAGCTTTTCTAGAAGAAGAACAGGCTTATGTAAGTTTAAGATTCGAGGTGATATAAGTGTTTACTTCACTTCATGAACTTCAGCGTAAATAGAATCAAACAAATTTTTACAATTCATCATATTTTTATGTTTTAAAGTATTATGTGCATAAGTCATTTTCAAATAATTTTGAAGATAATATAAATGAAAATCATTACTTTTTAAACGCACACAATCCTTCAGTGGTGTGAGAGTCATTTTTATAATATTAGTTATTCTTTAGTTCTAGATTTCATTTTACATATATGTATAACTTAATATATTAATCATAGTTTCCTGTTGTAACGTTAGTTATTAAGTCATCTAAGCTGACAACGTTCATCGTTTCCATCCAAATAAAAATGAATGAAGTGCTCTGAAAGTTTAAGAGTTATTTATGACTTGAATATGACTGAAAGTGTATAAAGCTATATATCTGCTACAAATATTGTTTAAATTTTAGAAAAAGAATACTTCCAAAATGCTTGTATGACAAAGAAATATGGTAATGTATTGTCAAAAAGCAAATGGTGCATGCAAGAAATCATTGCTAAGTGGTTAAAACTTTACTGATATAGCAGCATAATATTTTGTTCCGGAACATTTTATTCTGATTACAAACCATATGCATTCGTGTTAAATACCAAAGACATTTGATGTTTCAACTCTTTTGAGAATCGATCCTTCGACTGTGGAAACAATATAATTTTACTGTGAACAGTGATAAATTTTATAAAAATAGTTCATAAGATATAGCTTTAAATTCAAATAATAAAACTAATATCTGAATGGTTTTGTTATAACTCGGATTAAATCCCAGTATATGGCTTGTATACGATATGCCACTTTAAATGTCTTGATTCTGTGCTCAATATTTTACTTGCACCTGATTGAAAACAAAGACATTCAGACGTGGTTAAGCAGTAATAAATCGAAATATACGACGGATGAGACAACACAAATGAAGAGTTACATTTCATTTCACATTTACCCAAGGATTGTTGTACTTAGATAATTAAGATATTAAAGTAACTTTGAATTGAATATATTTATACCTAGTATTTAAAACAAACTAGCTTTTCTACATCTTTACATTCTTTAGTTTTCATCCACTCGAAAGAAAAGGATTTTCTTGTTGATCTTGTTTTTCATACTTTATGTATATTTTTTTCCAGATGTTAGATGTAGCAAATCGACATAAGAAAGTTTTTATGGAGATACTGAACAGACAATCATGGATTTCAAATAAATTTAAAAAGCAGTTGGTTAAAAAGGTAAATATTGAAATAAAATATTATTTTTTACAAATGGTGATTTTGAATAAAAAAGAAATTGTTTTTAAGATTTCTTCATATAGCTATACGAAAAAAAAGTCAAATAATTACATTGACATTAAAGTCACATTTTATGTTACATGAATGAAACTTTCCTCATTGCGAGAACATAAAAAACTTTATTTTAAAGGTATATTTAACACCGATGCTGAAGATACAATTAAATAATTATTAAAGTATGCCTATTCAAGACTTGCTGCACCAAAACGATTATCGGACCTGGGAAGAAAAATAGGACCAGATTGATAAAAAAACTGTGTTCATCTTAAAAGTGTCAAAAAACAAAAAAATGTAAATAATGACCCCCTTTAAAAATATACTGTAAGTTAAGAGATGGCCGGAAACTCCAGATTCGAGCCTACGAGCAAGGGATTCATTTCCTGGGCCGTTGTGAAAACAATTTTAAAAAACCTTTATCACTATTTCACGTTTGTATTAAGCTTCCAAATGAGACCGACCCCAAGTCTCTAGCCCTTCTCGTTCATGAAATATCTATCAGGAAACGAGCGAATTAGTGCTAAAAATCCTTGGTAGACGAAATTGCGGCACAACGTCCTGGTATGTTCATTCAGGTTCATACATATAAAACAAACACAAAACCACATGTCAACTATCGTATGAATGAATTATACTATTTTACTTTACAGTAGTTATTTAGAATATATTAGACATATATTATGCCTACTTGAAAAATTAAAAAAAATACACATGAAGAAATAGTTAAAACAATATTTTGTTATCTTAAGTTGTGCACCTGATAAAACAATTTCTTTATAAATTATTTACGGAACTTAAATGAACTCGAATGAACTCATGTAATTGCAGGCGGGAGCAATGAAATTCGAAGCTGGTTACCCAAAGCTTGTTGACAATGATCGTGCTCTTAATAAAATTCATAAACATGTAAGTCATATAACCAAAGAAGAATCACTCAACTTTGAAAATGCAATAAAGACTTCATATATAATAAGACAGTACAATATTTTCTTTCTTTTTATTTAATTTAACGTTCTCTTTTGAACCTCTAAGTTGAACGGCGTGTTTGTATGTTTTTGTTGTTGTTTTTACAATAGATAAAAAAATAAGTAAACAGATATTTTCATAGTATACATTTATTATCGGGTTTTTATCAATTTTATTTATTTAGTTATCAAATTTATCATGTTATGATTTCTTTTTCATAATAAAAATTTAAAAAAAAACTTCAACTACAATATCTTCCTTGCGAACCAAAAAAGTATGCAATTTCGAAATTGGTTACTTAGTAACAGTTTTTATCGATTCAGATATACTATGCAAAGATTTGATATTAGAAAACATTTAAAAAGTGTCTTTTTCAATATAAAAAAGCATGTTTTGACCATTCACGAAGTAGATATGTTATGTTTAAAACTCTAAATTGTATATGTGGTCACAATTTGAATATATAGTGATATTAAAAGCAACTGGAAGTTTTTTAAAGGATGTTCCAACTTTGTTTGATGCGTAAAAGGGAACGCAGCTTCCCATTCAAAGTTTATTCATACTTTTATTAAAATCAGACATAATTTTTTTATCATTATTCAGTAAAATAGTATAGATTTCAATAAATTTTTGTGTAACAATACTATACTCAAGGATGATTCATCTGTGTTGTTATATTCAGAAATACAGAAACGAATCTTTCCTGATTGTTATGATTTGATTTTTACAGTCTTTTTCTGTTAATCTGATATAACAGTATACTGCGTACACAATTATATCTTTAAGGAATGATAAAAGAAAATTAATAGAATTACCAGTATTGGTTGGAAAAAAGTCTTTTCATATAGCACTTACATTATTATTTAGAACAAAATATATTACATGTTGAAATTATCAATATTATGACGTGTCTCTTCTTTTTAACAAAAATAGTTTACAGTCTATGATAGTGACCCGTACAAAACTGTTGCAAGCATGGCTGACGCAGAAATGATTCGAGCAGCTGAGTTACTGAAACGAGATTTCGACGACAATGTGTAATTTTTATTTTATATAGATTTTTTATTTTCTTATAATCCTAAAAACAAAATAATGAAATATTATATAAACGCATGCATTTTTTTTTAGAAATGAACACCTCAAACTGCTAATGATAGTGAAATTATTTTGACTGAGACGTTTAATGTTTGACAAGTTTTATTATTATTATACAAATGTAAAGGCAAAAAAGGAACGTCATTTATAGCAAAAAGCCTTTGTAAAATGCAGTACATTACCATATCTATATAATTTAATAATTGTAATATACAGCTGGGAACCATTGATTCATATTCTCAGAGTAAGGTAGAATTGCAGCTTCTTTATAGAGAGAAAACCGGCAGCACGTATTTACTGTATATTTTAGTTACTCATTTGCATACTAAAAGTGTATGTAATGACATGAAGTCTTTGCAGTCTTTTATTAATTAAAGAACAAAATAGTTTTAGCACATTTAAACATGTTCACTAGCATAGCTTGACGTGTTTATCTAAGGCCGTACGTGGCAGATCTGCTCTGAAATAGAAAATAAGAATCCCTAAAGAAAGCCCAAAACTGCAACGTTGAAAATATTGCAGGCTCGGTTTGATTGAGCCTGTTCATGGACGAATTTTAGACTGATTTTACGGAAAGATATACAATTAAGCTCAGGATTACCTTTACTTAAAGAAAATAACATAACTCACTTAACATGTGGAGGTTTGTTCCAAAACGATTTTGTTACCACCCACCCCCCCCCACCCCCAAGAACACTTTATTAAAATTACGTTTATTTTAGACGTGGTAGGAAAATTGTAAAACAATTTTGACGATTACACTCTAAGTAAATTTCACAAAATCATAACAAACATTGCTTGTCTGAAATGGGTTTACTTAATAAGTATCAAGGAGATCAAAGATGCACGCATTATAACTGGGTCTATAAGCTTGTTTTCCTTTCAATATTGCTGTAGACGGATCTTCCTTTTTCTCAATTTTTATTCAACTCATTAAATAAATGTAATTCAGAATCAAAAAAGTGTATTTGCTAAATTAAATAAAGAAAATGCCATTACAGATGATATTTGTAAATATATCGTAAATGATAATGTAACTGTGCAAATCAATTCAAAATTTAGTCAAGTCGTAATTTTTGTCTAATTGCAATTTGTTTACGACACATTGCCAATATCATTTGTACATTTATATGAAGCAAAAAAAGTAAACCATTGCCAATATTATTTACAAAAGACAGTACGATACCCTTAATTGTGCTTGATTGCAAATTTATCATGAGGTCGGGTTTCAAATTAGTTTGAAATACATTAAATTGCACTAGTTCGGCTCGATAACCTCATTGTTATCCTAATCGAGAATTTCAATTTTTATATGCAGTTCATTAAAGGACGGTGTAATGGTCAACATTAATTTATAGGTACCATGAAGAAAGGGTCAAAGGTGTATTTATGTTGCATAAATTAATAAGTTTAATCAGAAGGAAATATAAATCATTCATGTATTACTATTTTATGTATACAGACACTTCACTCTGACTATCATAAGCATCTGAGGATTATTATCCAAATTGTTTTTATTTTGATTAAATCGTTGAACATAAGATCCATTTGTCTGTATTTTATGAAAATATTTTGGTATGCTTATAAATAAATATAATTACGAATGCTATTAAACAGCAAAGAACGAATAAGACCATGAATATACATGTATTTTTGGAAGAAGTCCATGATATTTTGTTATGGCAATAAAATGAATAAATGAAAAGTTATACTTAAAACGACTATGAAAGGACAGCACAATTTCGAATGTGTTCAATACTATTATCTTTAATGTTAAGGTAAAGACGGAAACGATAATTGATAAAATTGGAGATTGCGTCTAAAACTTCATACTTTCCTTTTTTTCAGGTTTATAAATGCTTTCATTTGATATATGTACTTTCTTTTTTCTTTTAGATGGAGCGAAACACCCGTTACTAACAATGCATATTATTCTTTAAGCTTCAATACAGTTGGTAAGTGTGTTCATAGTAATTAAGAGTTTGAAGTTACAAAACTAAAAAGGTTCAGAATAGTTCTAAAGTGTCCAAACAATAAAACGCTCATAAATAATAATTAATTTTAAATAATTAAATATGTAAAAAGAATAAAATGTACCTAAAATATATTTTGCTGCTTTTTTAAGAAGGTTTAGTAATTATTTCGCTCATATACGCACTTGCTTTTGCAAAACTTTAAAACAAAATTGATTCAGGTTAACATATCGGTTAGGATTTTCATAAAGAATAGCAAAGCAAACTTAGACATGCCAATAAAACATTAAACTCTTGAATATACATCCAGAATTAAAGATATATATAAATAAATGAAACATTTAAGAATTGCGCACGGTTACACCTTTCCCTAATTGAGAACCTTGAGAGAAATATGGAAAAAATAGTTATTTATTGATCACATAGCACCCTGAAATTAATACACATCGCACAAAAGAAAAATAGAAAATGTATATCCGACATAAAAACAGTGTAAAGGGGTTACACTTACTTTTGTCAAAGCAGCAGTTTGTTAAATATTATGTGATTTTAATTTTATAGATACTTTTAGTTTTCATTCACAGTACGTGTTTTTGTAAATGTTGCAATTTTTGTCACTTGTTTTTATGTACATAATGGACAGACATTTTCCACAATACACGTGTGTTTAAAATCGTAGAAAGGTGTTTCCAAATTTCTAAAAGTGTTATATACCACTAGTGACGCTGATAAAACTAGTATTTTATAATACTTATCATTTTCTTTGATATTTTACATTTCATCTTGGAGAATGAACGGATGTTGAACACATTTTATCGCCGATTTTGACACACTTGGCTAGAGTTCATACTGTTATAACAACTGATTGTTTTAATGTCATTAAATAGCACTTTCGTAGTTTATTTTTATGTATTTGTTTGAGTTCGTTTGAACAAAATATACATTTACAATCAATAAATACTATATAAATTATAACATCTAAAAGGATTTACAAATCTTTTTATTTATTTATATCAAGTTGTTTATTTACCTACGTAGTCCAAACAGAGTTAAATTAAGAATTGAGAGAGCGGTTCTGATCTTAAGTCACATGTAACCTTTTTTTATCCTGAACGAAAAAAAAGAAATCATGCATATAGCAGAGTGCAATTTATTTCAGTTCTTCTCGCAGGGCATCTGCAACCAAGGACGTATTCACATGACATGCCTGAGTAAGTATAACACTATTTTTAAAGATAATTTTGTTCCATCCCTTGCTGGATGGTAGTTGTTTTATTATTCAATCCATTCTTTTGCTAGGCTAGATTACAGTTGTTTCTTGTTTAATCCCTTACTGCATGTACTGGATTGTACTAGTTTCTTATTCCAGTCTTTCAGTAATTGTTTTTGCTAGTTTTCAATAATGCCCCCACAAACGGAGTTTAGGGAGTTTATAGGAGTTAGCTTGTTTGGTCTGTCTGTCAATAGTCAGCCAATACCTCCACTTGATGGTTTGCGGGCGATATGGGTAATTGAAATCAAATGGGTACATTTGTATATAGTAACTTTATGTTGAAATCCCGTATTTCTTGCATAGCAAACTTGCGTTTCCGTTAGTTTTACCCGTGCAAAACAACAACGTCACTTTAACGTGTTTTAGAATGAAGCTATGTGCTAAAGATGACGTTTTATCGCCGTTGTTATTTAACTTGTAAATTTTTAAGATATTGAAAGAAAATAGTTATGGATGAATGACATTAGTTCAAATGAAAAATATCTTATTTAGGTATACCATTTTAAATAAGATGAATATGTCAGAATATGCAAGAAAAATATATGACATATGTTTGGGACGGATATTACGATCCCAACAGTAACATATTATTGGGAATTGCTTTTGGTCAAGATCAAGGTTACTGTTACTTAAAATAGAAAAATGGTTTCCGGACAATAACAAAAGTTAGAAATGAGATATTGTAGTTAAACTTGCAAACTTGGTTTATAGCAACCTTAAGGTCACTGTCACTATAAATAGAAAAAAGCTTTCCGGACGATTAATACAGTTAGAGATAAAGTTTGGAATAATATTATAGGAAGCTTATTTAAAAACTAAGGTTGGGATTGCTTTAAGAACCTCCCCGAAAAATGGTTTCCGGACAAAAACTAGTGTTAGATATGAAATATTCTGATCAAAGTTGGCAAATAGCAAAAACATATATAAAGACTAGTGTTTGAAATGGTTTTGGATCCCCTATGTTCAAGGTCACTGTTACTTTTTACGAGCTCAACGCAACATAGAAGATAACGCTGCAAAAAATAACAATTTTTATTTAAAGAAAATCAGTTATTTACAATAATTCAAAAAAAAATAAAAGTAAAGTTTAGTTTAAACAATATTTTTATTTCTATTTTACAACATAAATATATACAGTAGGCATATACAATCACACTGATATATTTCGTGGATTGGAAAACAAGTCAAATGTGACTTATGTAAATTCCTTTCCACACATAATGTACTTGCAATAAAATCAGTTATTTACAATAATTCAAAAAAATATGAAAGTAAAGTTTAGTTTAAACAATATTTTATTTCTATTTTACAACATAAATATATACAGTACGCATATACAATCACACTGATATATTTCGTGGATTGGAAAACAAGTCAAATGTGACTTATGTAAATTCCTTTCCACACATAATGTACTTGCAATAAAAAATATGCACATATTTGGTTAGAATAATACAGAAAAGGGAAATCAGATAAATAATAAAAATGATTAAATTTGTTAGAACATTATTATCTACAGTAGTAGAATAAGAAAACTTCTGTTTCAAGATTATTTCATAATATTGGGAGATTACTCCAAACAATTTCTATTACAAAGTTAAATATTGTTTTTAACTAGTATTAAATTTAAGTGAGTTTTTTCAGATGATTTTGTTTAGAATGTTTCGAAGAAAAAAGAGACAAAAATTTTAAAATAAAGTTTTGAATTATGATAAAGAATAGAGAATATATGTCTGCACACAATATTATGGGGAAAATTATAGTAAGTAAAACGTTTGGAAGCTAAGATAAACTGTTGAACTTGAAGAATGATTTTTCGTTCGTGTTAAAGCTCAGGCGCTCGACTCCGTTAAAGTGATTGTTAAGGGGACATGAAAAGGGACGTAAATACATGCTTCTGATAATATCATAACGAGGACATGAAAAGAAAAAGTGATGCACTGTCTCTATTTCGCCACATAGACATAATGGAGACTGGATAATAGACTTTCTATGACGGTCAAAGTTCAGGGAGCTACAATCTAAATGAAGACGTGCGTGCCATATTTGGCCTATACGACTTCCTACATTAAATAAAGGGGAGGCTTTTGTTTTGTTTTTATTAAGGCACCGTTTTAAGGCAGCAACAGAAGATGAATTTCTTGTATCTACAGGTAGTAAGTTCCATTCTCTTATTGCAAAAGGAGGAAAGAATGGGCTATATATTTGTGTTCTTGAGTTTACTTGTCTTAGATTTCTGAGGTGGTAGGACTCGTTGTGTTGTGGTATCAGATCAGAGAGATAGTTTGGAGTAATTCCATTGTACATTTTAAAGAACAAAGCTAGTTTATATTGTTAACGCCTTTCGGCCAGGGTATCCCATTTGAGGTCGTTTAGTAATTTACTTATATTGCATAATTTTGTGGCACCTGTTTCTATTCTTGCTACCTCGTTTTGAACTGCTTCAATTTCATATTTTAACATGTTCGAGGAGTTATCTCATGTCACATCGGCGTACTCAATGATAGGGCAGATAAAAGACATCTACATTATTTCCAAGCTTCAATGATTGATGAGAAATTTCAGTGATCTCATGATGCCTACTCTCTGCCAAGCTTTTCGCAGTATTATAGATATATAGGTATCCCATTTAACATTTTCTGAAAGGGTAACACCAAGATGTGTGTGATTTTGTACACGTTTGAATGGAATTCCATTTATTTGAATTGGGGGATGGTTTACTTGTTTTAATTTACTTGAAAATATCATGGATTCTGTTTTGGACGGATTAAAAGTTACCAGCCAAGCCTTTGACCATTCATGAATTTTTTGAAGGTCGTCATTTAAATGCTTGACTGCGTCTATGGGATTCTCTAGAATGAAGGCTCGTGTCGTCTGCAAAAAGTCGTATGCTCGAATTTACATCGTCAACAATATCGTTTAAATATATGGCGTGTCGTGAAAACAATAGTGTTGCGACAGATGGTCAGAGCTGCGCGATCGGAGTCTGAGGATCTGCTGTTCCTATTTGTAATAGGGGTAGCGAACGCATGGATCTGTCAGACTGGCAGATAGCAGCTGTCTGATCATGTGGTCGCAACCATATGTGTTTTTATGAACGCTATATCAAATTCTGATGACATTAGAAGAATAGCGTATACAACGCGTTGTTTGCGATCAGAGAGATACGAAGTAAAGTTAAACTCTCAATTATCCACAAATCAAATTTAACAAATATTCTAAAGTTTAACTCACAGTTCGAAATTCAATTGTCCACAACTCAAATTTAATGAATGTCCAAGACCACAGCAGAATTTTACAATATGTCCAAAAAACTTCGCTCACAGAATTACAGAATCCAAACTGATATATTACTTTGTTAGCAGTACAATAGCACACAGTCAGTACATCAACGTCACACAATATCACAAATTATCACACACACCTCATCTTTCATCTTTCAACTTTCATCATATATATACTATCAATGAACAATCTAGAATACTAAACTACTTAGAGATTGAATATTCCAGCCATGAAAAGACCTTTCTTAAAAGAAGATGAATGAACAAAATTATTATAAAAGGTAATAATGACAAGAGTAGGTATCGAACCTACGACGTCGAGATTGTTAGTCCTGCGCTCTACCTACTAAGCTATTCAGGAAATAGATACTAAATACTTTTATAATAAAGCATATATACATAACACCTATACTGAATATATTTATAATAAAGTCTATATTAATAACATACTAAAACAGAAAACAACTAGAAACAGAAAACAACTAGAGTTATGAATAAGATATTGTGGTCAAATTTGGTATAAAGCAAGCTTATATGAAGACCAAGCCATGTCCTTCTGTTCAAGGCCAAGGTCACAGTAACTAAAAATAGAAAAATGGTTTCCAGACAAAAACTAGATTTAGGAATGAGATATTACGATCAAACTTGGCATATAGCAAGATTGTATGAAGACCAATGTTAGAGTTGCTGTAGGACCCCCTTGATTATAAATTAAGGTCACTGCTACTAAAAATAGAAAAATAGTAACTGGCAAAAAAACTAGAGTTTGGAATCTGACTTTATAATAAGATTTGATATATATCAAGCCTATATGAAGACCTAGGTTAAGATTGCTTTTTTACCCCTGGGTCAAGGTCACTGTTACTAAAAACGTAAAATGATTCCGGACATAACTAAAGTTAGGAATGAGATATTGTAATGAAACATGTCATAAAGCAAGCTTATATGGAAACAAAAGTTTGAATTACTTATCGACCCCATGGGGTTAAGGTTACTGTTACTAAATATAAAACATGGTTTCAATACAAAAAACTACAGTAAACAATAATATATTGAAATCAAGTAATAGAAAGAGCATCGAAACACGAGACTATCTGCTTTGTACGAGGGGGCGTAGCCCCCGAGTATAAATCAGTTAGCCGAGTGCTGTATTTTTATTCTGTTTTAAAAGGCTGTAATTATTTCCCTGTTAAATCCATTGCAGCTGTATTTTAGTTATTTCTTGTTCCATACTTTGCTTTGTAAGGCTATATTTTTTTTTTGTTAAATCCCTCGCTGCATTTTAGTTATTTCTTGTTCCATCCTTTGCTGGATTGTAGTTGTTCCTTATTTAATCCTTTTATTTGTCTTGCTGGACTGTATTTGATTCTTGTCTTATCCATTACTTGATTACATTTGTTTCTGTTTCTATTTTTGTAGACGTTTTAGATTAAAGATATAAGAATCTACATTAGATACTTAGTATGCAACGTAAGATGACATGGAATTATGGCAATAGAAGACAATGATATGATATGTGTCAATAGCTAATTGCATTTTGAATTGAAGAGTGAAATTAAACATTCTTTTCATCACAATTAGCTGGTTAGTTTGAAAGAAGATTTGGTTCTCATTCAAACAAAGTTGTTTTCACTTTAAATATTTTAATAAAATTGCAAGTCTATGGCCATGACTCTGTGTAAAAAGTTGCTAATTCTTTTCTATTTTTGTTGTACAACAGGTATATGAACTACGGAGGAGCAGGCTATGTGATTGGACATGAAATAACACATGGATTCGACTCCGAAGGTACAATATCTTTATATCTGTTAATTATTTTATTTTTGAATATATTTTAAAAACATTTATAACCCCTGATCGCTTTTGTTCGATCCGCTAATTTTACTTTTGGACAAACGCCGCTTTTTATGAAATGGCGTTATAATATTACATTGGACGTTCAATGTTCACTGCCGGATGAACACATCTGCGGATTTTTCTAAATTCCAAATTATTTCCCCATTGTCATGTATAGATGTTGAATACTACTTAAAATTCATTTATTTTGAAGAGATTTGTGTTCCATTTTAGACAAAAAGGACAAAAATAGATATATTAAACGTCTCAACTAATTGATCGTTATTTGTTGTTATCTTCAAAACAGTCTATTAACTCTGACAAAGTACTTTATGTAATATGTATATAAAAACAACATCTCCAAAAGACATCATTATATCTGGGTTTAAATTATATAAAAATTATGTTGGCAAAGTATTTAATTTTAAGATGATTTATAAATACAAAATTTTGCTTTGACAGGAAGACTTTTTACTAAAGACGGTAAATATGTTTTTGACCTGTGGCCAGCCAAAGACCAAGAAAATTATGTAAATCATGTGAATTGTTTAATAAATCAATTTAACAACTACACAATACCAGGCACCGGTGGAACGAAGGTATTAAGATATTTTTATGAGCGCACTTTAGAAGCAATCTTTTTATGTCTTTGTTCCTATTTATGTTAAATAACACATGCTTACCGTGAATCATGAAAGTAAATAGTCGTCACCATTCGTACTAATATCAATTAGTTTTTCCAAGTTCTGTAGTGTCAGGCTTTAGTTTTTCTGACTTTAGTAAGGACATGAAAATATAAGTTTCCGACAGACAATAAATAGTTTACATTAATTTATATAGTATTATTTCCTACTTTCAATTCCAGCATAATGGTATGTTGACATATAACGAAAATATTGCTGACAATGGAGGGTTAAAGATTGGCTATGAGGTAAATTATTTAAATGGAAAGTACAAATGTAATGAACGTTGGTAGTGGAAGAGCAAAGATTGCCTTTTTACACTAACTGTTACAATAAGTTTATCCTCAAAAATGCCGAAATTTACATTATCTCTCATAAACAGACACAATTAAATCGAGTATGTGATCTTCATTTGGTCTGGACGCAATTTCCCCCATCTCAAGAATTCTAATATTTCTCTGAAATTAATTTCTTTTTTTTTAGAATCATGAAATAAGTCAAAAACTGTTCGAAAAGAAAGTAGAAAAGTTCCGCTAAAATTTGACAAGCGCAGAAATGTAGCTTATAAATATTTTAATAAAATAACATGTTATAGTTTAGTTCTTTCTTTTGGCATATATAGGCTTATCGTAAATGGGTGAAGACCAGCAGAAAAGGCAAAGAAGAAAACAGATTACCTAGGCTGCCTTATACCCCAGACCAACTATTCTTTCTTAATTTTGCACAGGTGATAATCGTTTGTAATGCCAGATATCAATTATTTCATTTTATCAAATTACACTTTATTACAAAACCTTTAATTAATAACGTGTTACGGAAAGAATTTGTTTATTCAAGCGTGTGACATAACTGCTATTTTATTTAAATTGTAAATGCTTATTAAAATAATATGGATTTTGAAATTTCAGACTAAATGTTTCATTGGAACAAGTGACTACAAGAAACATTGGATACAAAACGCTAAACATAGTTTTCCAAGAGTCAGGTTTAAATTTTACTAATTTCTCAAATTATCAAAAAGAAAATGCGAAGATAGATGCTCTTGCTTGATCTACGTTTAACATCAGTGTTGCAAATTGAATAATGCATACGCCCATGCTAAAGTGTCTAAAGATGAGATATATTTCACCTTACATTAATCTTTCATGAATAGTTTCTCTATAAAACCCATTCTGCAAAGTCAAACTTTTGGGTTTATAAAATTTTATTCAAATATTATTGTACAAATTTGAATGCATAAAATTACAAATGATTGTATATGAATGGAAACATCAGCAAACGCTCAGCATATCGTCACCAAAACTTGTTTGCTACGCATATGATGCTGTAAGTGAATTTCTACAAATGTTACACATTTTTTTAAAGCAAGGGTGTTACCTAATGATTATATGAGACTGGAAAAAAACACATTAAAAGCAAGCAGAAAATAGATATACTTATTCGCTAATTGTTTCATTTAAGGGTAACTGGAATGATGCAGAATAGTAAGGACTTCGCAAAGGCATGGAATTGTCCAGTTGGCTCCAAGATGAATCCTGCTGATAAATGCACAATGTTTGAATAATGTGAAGACATCCTTTTCCAGTTTTTACAGACATAGAAAATAAGATAACGCTAGAAAATAAGATAACGCATTAGATGTAAACTTTAGTATTTAAATATGGTATAAAAAAGTCATCTACCAATAAATTACGTTTTTCAAACCATAGAATGTATTAATTTTCAATAGACCTTCAAATAATAAAAAGGAAAGTATTGATTAAAATTGTGTTGTTTTGCAAACCCCGCATCGTAATTAAAACATGTAGTCTTATAGTCTATATTTGTTTATTAATTTTGCTTTGATAAATTAGGAAATAAATATCAATTCTGAGTGCATTGTTGTAGAATAATGCACGGATTGAGTTCAAATGCGTAGTAATATAATCACGAAGGCCGATAGACCTGAGGTTTTAATTACAAAGCATTTGAACGAAAAACGTGCATTATTATAATATAATGCACGAATAATTAATATCTATTTCCATTCTAACACGTCAAGAAAAAACAATGATTATTATATAGCTGGACTATATGTTTGATGGTTAATTCCAATAGAATAGTTCTTTAAAGGCTGTTCTGGACAGTGGGTTGAAAAAAAACTGTACTGTCGTTAAATCTACCTTATGTAGAAACATTTTGAGAATAACAAATTTTGAAAACGTTGATAAAACTTTGTTTGTTTTCTTTATTTCACTCTATATTTTTCAAGCAAAATACAAAGTATAAATAGTGAAATAAATGTGAAATTTAACTCGTTTGCGACATTGAAATAGCGTCCTTGATTTGATTGTTTTGCACGTGCTGTATGGCGCTACATTTTGACGTCACGTAAACAACAGTTTAAACGTCTGTACGGCGTTAACGACTGAATTAAACATATTGGTGTTTAGATTCATTTTCTTAGTAGACCATTTTCTATCATCGAGATAGTTTTCACAACGAAATTCGACAATTCTTTTTATTTATCAGATTTTTCAAACAAAATGGCGCCGTCAATGTGTCGGTTTGAAAGTACACAGGGAGGTAATAAGAACGGCAAGTGCATTGTTGTAGAATAATGCACGCTTCTGGCCTTCTTTGTCTATATAGAAATATTTCCGATAGTGTTAGAATATGCAATAATTCATAATGAATTTGAAAGTGGATGAAAATTCGAACGTTTCAAATACCTGTGTTATATTATGATCTGCAGAATACTTTACATTTTACATTACAATATTTCGGCTGATTAACTTGTGATCTTAAACAGATCAGAGAAAGTAACCCATGATGTCATGTCTATAACAAATGAAATGTAATCTAAATGCTTAAACCATTTTTTAACAATTTTACAAAACATGAAACACACACACACACAGACAAATCATCTGAATACCGAAGTAAACAGTTGAAGAGAGAAAATAATTGCACGTACATGATTTAAAGTAAAATATTATCAATAACTCTTAAATGTATGAAATTGAAAGGCAAGTATTGTATTCATTCAAGAAAGTCTATAACGATTTCACTCATGTAATTTCAAATTACACTCACATTATGATTTCTCCGAAAATAAATAGAAGTACCGGTATGGATTAAATGCATTTTTGTTAACAATGGATATATAAAAAAAGAAAAATATTGTTTGTACATTCTGGTTGTTTAACTGCGACTGAGTGTATAGACTTTAATAAAATTTTGTTTTATGAGAACTTATACACATTGGTAGGAAAGAAATGCTGATAAATGACAAGTATCATTATACCGAAACCTTTGAATGCAACTGCAAGGACGTGTGGCAAATGATGATTTTATAAATGTTAAGTATTCCTGCAACAAAACCAAAATCGGTCACAGGTTTTAGTGTTGCATTACTCGTTCGTCAGTATCAGGTGGTCGGTATAGAAATAATTTATTAACAAACTTAATCATATTAATAAATGTTGTTAATTATATTTACTTAAGTAATTGATTATTACAACTCTGTACTTCGTAAGTTCAGTGTCTATGCATATAAGGTGGAAACAATTAAATATGCCATGTGTCGTAGATAGTCCTCTGTGTTGGGCCTATGTAAAGTTCATCTTAAAATTTGTAGTCGTATAAGTTGCCGACGTTCAAATATATTTGTAGCCGAAGTTCAAATATATATGTAGCATTTGAAACTATCAGTTTATTGTAAGAAAAAGCATTGTAATATTTTGTCAGTCAAAGGCAAATGAAATTTTGAAATAGGACCCATCAAAACGTCTCAATAATAGCCAAGTTTTCAAACCTTGACATTTTGACAACATAATATTTCTAAGTTAAATCGTTTGCATTGTAAAGGGTAAAAGAAGATGAATTAAGCTTTCAAAATTGTATATTATTTTTTTACTTGTTATATGTATTATATTACAAATGTTAAACAGCTAGTTACATTGAAATTCTCATGAGATGAATGAATTTAATATAACTGCGGACTGAAACGATAGTATCTCTTTAGTAAAATGTGACAAGAAATTCCTGCAAACCTGAATCTGATCTTATTCAGCAAGTATACGGCTAAAATATGAATTATTTGATATTGTAGGCCTGATAGATCAATGTAATGATAAAAAGGAAAGAACAAGTTGTTTCTAAGCAAGTATAAAAGTGATTCAACCTCAAATTATTTTTGTAGAATACAACGTATGAATCCTTTTGGACACGCAATTCCAAAACTTTTCAATAGCGGAAAACTGATTAAGATACGTCATGTGCATATTCTTTGAATAAATGATTTTAGAATATTTAATTGCCTAGAAAAGAGTTTTCGTACCTGCATGCACAATTTAATACTTAAATTTCATGGCATCTGTGTTAAATAATTTCATTTTACTTACTTTACTTTTACTTTACTTCTCATTTGTCAGATAACTTGTCAGAATTAACATTTCATATTACTGATTTGCATAAATATCTTGACATGTTGCATAAATTGCATTGTTGCATAATTATAATGCTTGATTGAACTGTTTTTATAGCAAAAATGTAAAACTTTTAAATAGAACTCTTTCACTGTATAATTTTAATTTTATACTATTCTTTTATGTATTTGGCTTGATTTATGATATTAAGAGCTTAAGGATATACTGCATTTATATATGCAGATAATGAATTCACGCGCGTAAACAATACAAATTCTGAAAACATTTAAGGTCATACGAGTGCATTATATTTCATTCGTTCTACGATAGCTTTATCAGCGGTAGCACAATTTGATTGATTGATTTCGTCACTATTTCTTTCATTTTTTTGTTTTTCTATGTTTTCATAATAAATTTGATCACCAGGACATAAAACAAACTGTAAAAGAAACATGTTTGCAACAACGCCTGATGCTTCATTCTGATTGATATTTATATATCAATTAATTTTTTGTCAATATGTGCGTTTTAACTACTTCTACTATTTTTAGAATACTTAAAGGCAGATTACTAGTATCATGGAATTAAGCGTATTTTATTGCATGGTCTTGCGAAAAATATCAGAAATAAGATGCGCTTTAGTTAAATATACCTTAATGTTATTTGCCTAACTGCTGAGAACCTGAATTGTCATCATTTATAAGGAAATATGGTACTAAATATTTCATTGGCGGCAATGTAATTGTGACAAATGCCAGCCTTTGATGAACCTTGGCATTATACCGAAGCCTAAGAGGGTAATTGTGCATAGCTTCAAGGAAATCAAAGTGACTCACAATGATTAAATAAACGAAAAGCTAACATTTCGTGTTACTGATCAAAACCTTATGAGAGGTTTTGAATGTTGCTTAATTATAGGCGACAGATACGCATATCATTGTATTTCCTGCTTAGTCACAATGATTAACTGATTCTCATTTTATTATAAATGAAGTTGATTTGCAGACTAGCACTATGATAGCTAAACGAACAATCTCTTGTTGTTTTATATAAAACAAATTTACATCATATTGTCATAAAGATACGATTTTACTAGCATCTATAGATGCATATAGAATTATAAGAACAATGCTTAAAGTTAAAGATGAAACCCATAAGTTTGTTACTTAGATATAGTACATGTAGTTTATATTCGAAATAATCAATTACTGTTATTTGTGATCATTTTCTAATTTTTTACAATCAATTCTTCATTCATTAAGAGAATAAAATGCAAAATTCAGGATAAAAATTGTCTAATTATATACTTTGATTCATTTAAATACTCTTTTTTAAAATCAGACATATGCAAATAGACCGTGTTCTTATCTGTATGATGGCGAAATAATTTAAAATGAAATTCCACGTGTATACAATGACCCGTGCATACTTATTA